TATATAAAAATTATTATCAGTTACAAATATAATAGTATGTGTCATTAACAAACCTACCGGCTACAAAGTTGCTATGGTGTCTTTAATTATCAACATATGTACAAAAATATCAGTGATCATTGGGTTAATTCTTGAAGTAAGCTACAACTTATAACTAAAGTTTATGAGTTACAACTGTTTTAATTTTAGTTAAGTTTTCAACAAACGTAATTATGCAACCAGAATGTTAACCATAACCATTTTTTGTTAAGATGTTCATACATTTCTTAAAGAATTTCTTAAAGAGCTATTACTTTATACACAAGGGGGAGGGTTGAGTATATTATATTAAAACGATTTTTAATATGCAAATTAGCAAGTTACATGACACAACCACATCCAATAACATATCGCAATATCAGAACTACATTCTGACAGCTTGGCATTTCGCTGTTTGATGCTGCAGAAAATGTATTAGTTTTGGAGAGGGTTTGTAACATCCTTTCCAACATAAAATATTAATATACTTAGATCATAAAAATGTATTTATATTGGTGATTTAGAATTTGCATGATGGGGGATAACCCTTTTACTTAATTGCATTGAAAAACAAAGGAATATGGGTCAACTTGGGGCACCAAGACCATCTGGAAAGAGACTTGCAAGAAGACATACCCAAGCCATGTTAAGCCTTTCAACAGGTGAGAATGCACAAAGTAAAAGCCATCCACATGCCGTAGGCAATAGTACATAATCAAGGATGATCTCCATCTTGTAAAGCTATTCAAAATTATTGTGTTCTCTAGATCAGTAATGTGTCATTTAATACCATAACGAATTTTCTGCTTAAAAAAAACAAAAAACTTTACAAACGTGACCAGTACAAAATATAAAGAAATCAAAGAAGCTTAATCTGTTAGTGTTACTATTAAAAAGTTAAAGTATATGTCTTATTTATTTATTTTTGCTACTGGATTCATCCCTTAATTTTTGTTTATATTGTTGTTGTTTTTATTCTACGATGTAGTGTTTCCAAAAACAATCAAGTATGTAAAGAAAATCACATTTACTTTCAATACAAGCTCCGCAATAAAATATTGGTCTTAGCCAGAGTCAAGTCTAACAGAATAGCATAATCAAGGAACACAAATTTGTCTTTTTCGATTAAACAGCTTAAAATTGATAAAGAGCTAACTACACAGTGATTCTCAGTTTAGTAACGATCCGGACTCTACCCTAGGTCACTCAGTGTTACGATCCCGACTCTACCCTGGGTCACTCAGTGTTACAATCCCGACTCTATCCCTGGGTCACTCAGTGTTACAATCCCGACTCTACCCTGGATCACTAAGTGTTACAATCCTGACTCTACCCTGGGTCACTCAGTGTTACAATCCCGGGTCACTCAGTGTTACGATCCCGACTCTACCCTGGGTCACTCAGTGTTACAATCCTGACTCTATCTTGGGTCACTCAGTGTTACAATCCTGACTACCCTGGGTCACTCAGTGTTACTATCCCGGGTCACTCAGTGTTACAATCCCGACTCTACCCTGGGTCACTCAGTGTTACAATCCCGACTCTATCTTGGGTCACTCAATGTTAAAATCCGACTCTACCCTGGGTCACTCAGTGTTACAATCCCGACTCTATCCTGGGTCACTCAATGTTAAAATCCG